TGTATAACATCAATTGTAGAAATGACCATTTCCTGGTTTCGGGTCGAAACCGCCGGTTTCCAGACAGAACTGCCGGTTCTGGACCAAGGGTTGGAGGGCCCTGAATCAGCCCAAACATATGCACATGCCGGTTCAATGAAACGGCAGTTTTGGGCCGGCTCGGTTCAATTAAAGAAAATTAGCCGAACCGCCAGTTCTAGTTTCGATTCGGAATCGGCCTGACTGTTCGAACACTAAAAATCTCTGGCCCGAAATTGGCTCAATCAAATCACGGGCTCGGTTCACGGCTCGTTGATCGTAGGTAGGTTCCGAGCCAGGTTGGTATGTGGTCATGTCTAATTAGTTGTAGGAAAATTGGGGTCATTAAAACAATACAGCAAATTGAGTTCGGTAGCATTATCGCCGTTGCAAATAACAATAGTTAACATAAAACCGCTATGACCAAATACATTTTCTTCAACAACAAAATCACAATTAAAAATTGCCATTGACTCTTATCATTAGACTTGCATTTTCTTGAACAACAATATTTTTTTTTCAGAACGGTAGAAGATATTATAACCAACCCAATAAACAACAGTACAAACCGGAACAAATAGGAAACCAACAACAAAATTAAGAGACACACCCCACGGTGGTCTAAAGGACAAACACTACACACAGTCATAGACTGAATACAACTCAAAAACCTACAACTGCCAACTAAAAAACCGAAAATAAGAGAGAAGAGCCTAACCACTAAAAACACCAAGCAGACCTTTGATCCCTCGCTCTCTCCGCCTCTCTTCAAGTCTTCAAACTCCTTCTATTCTCGAACAAAGTGAGGTGATTCCAGCTTTTGTAATGGCATCCTATCCCTTGTTCCCCTCTCTTGATCTACCAAAATTGGCTACACAGCTGAGATATAGTCTTACAAATACCTGCAGGAAGCAGAAAACAAGACATTGCGAAAACAGGCAATGCATTTAACATAACTTTGATTAGAACCTCTCTACCAACACAAGAAAGCAATTTATTTTTCCAGTGGACAATTCTGCCTCTTACAGCCTGAAGAATATAATCAAAGGCAGCCCCATATATCTGGTAGAATTATGAGCTCGAATTCCATTCAATAGACCACATATATTCACTCTAGTGGGGACAGAAGAGTTCCTGCTAAAGAACACTGTTTATTTTGCTCAATTCACTTTATGCCCAGTGAAAGATTGGTAAAAATCCAAATATTCAACATAAAAAGAGATTGACTGGGCTCAGCTTTACAAAAGACCAAGAAGTCATCTACAAACAACAAGTGTGTCAGAGTAGGCCCTCCTCTAGACAATCTCTTACATTTAAAACTCCCTTCTAGACCTCAGCATTAATTAAGTCAAATAAAGCTTCAAACACTAATATAAAGATACATGGAGAGATTGAATCTCCCTGTCTTAGTCCTCTAGTATGGGAAAAATACCCTGATTTCTTGCCATTAATGAGGAAAGAAAAAGATGTAGAAGAATTGCAAGCCAAAATACATTTTACAAAGACAGTATGAAACCCCATTTTCAACATTATAGCTTTGAAACTTCTCCACTCTATTATGTCATAAACCTTCATCATATGTAACTTTTGGGCCAAAAAGTTGTTCTTGCCTGATCTATGCCTATTGAGGTAGTGGAAAACTTCCTGAGCAATTAATCACATTATCTAGGAGCTGTCTCCCAAGGATAAAAGCCGACTGAGATTCATTCACACAATTATTCACATAACTTTTAATTCTGATAGCCATAATCTTAGATATAATCTTGTACAACTCCACATAAGCTAATATGTCTAAAATGGCTTAAAGAAACTGGATTGATGCATTTAGGAATCAAGGTAACTAGAGTTCGGTTCCCATATTTAAGCAGTTGACTAGAATAAAAAAAGCTTCTCACAGCCTTACATAAATCAACACTAAGAATTGACTAGAAATGTTGATAAAAGAGAGCAGTCATACCATCTTCTCCCAGGGTCTTTGCAGGGTTCAAAGAGAAAAGAGCATATTTGATCTCATCCTCTTACACCTCAGCTATGAGCTCCCCATTCATCTCATTGGTAATGGAGAGAGGTATGTGCTGTAAAACTTCAGTCTCTCCTTCAGAACCTTCAGAGGTTAACAATTGTTTGTATACTCCAGATCATGGGCTTATATCTGTTCCCCGGTGTCACAAACTATGTTATTAGTTGTTGTCAGTCTGGTGATTGCATTCACTCTTCTTCTCTGCATAGTGTAAGCGTGGAAGAATATAGTGTTGAGGTCTCCTTCTTTGAGCCAACTAATTATGGCTTTTTGCTGCCAGAATTGTTCCTTGGAGCCATGAGCTTGATCTAACTCCTTATGGATTTTGTCCCATTAACTGCAGTTCTTGTCCCTTTCTGCTTTCCTCATGTCTTCCAGTTTTAAGGACAACAGCTGCATTGTGTTCTTTCTTTCAGCTCTAAGAGGCTACTCTTGTTTTTTTTTTTAAAAAAAAGAAATCTTTTATTCGACAAAGTACATAGGAGTTCCCTCCTACTCGCTGCTACAAGTTTGCTTCACCACTTCCTTCACCCCTGTCATGTGAATCCATCTTTTGTCAAATGTGAATCCCTCTTATGTCCTTCCACTGGCATAGCTCCTTCCACAATTAACATATTGTGGTCTGAAGCACTCTTAAATAGGTTTGTGACTTTGGAATTTGGATGCTCAGCCAGCTAAGAATATGACCCAAAAGCTTTGTTTAACTTCTCCTCCACAAAGCCCTATCCTTCCCTATTATTCCCCCAAGTGAACTGGTGACCTAACATTGGTAATTCCTACATCCCCTTGTTGGATTAGAAATGTTGAAAACTTAGGAAACTCCTCTCATATCTAGGTCTCTCTCCTCTCTTCTCCTCCATGCTTCTGATCTCATTCCAGTCCCTTATGATTATTCAAGAATCCCTGCATTTGCATTTTTCAAGTAACGACACTGACCATCTATAGTAGCTTTCTCAGTACTCATATATAAAAACACAACCCAACTAAAACCTTCATCAACTTGACTTGCGAACTCCACTTCCACACAAAACTCTACCCCAATAATTTGTTTG